AAACCCAGATTATCATGCTGAACATATGTTTGGTGAAAATAGCATAACAATATGATGCATGTAATTTCCTCATTCAGTTATGCTGCAGATACTGTAAGTCTCTTTTTTGTTCTTCACAAGTAGTAAAACCTGGAAAGACTGAATCTGTATATGGATTCTTGGTCTTGTGTTTCAGTTCTGGGAAACCTGCAAGCAATGGTCAAATAAACAAACTTATGTTAACAGCAACAGACAGCTCAGATCACTTCCAAGTTTGTACCCAAATGTCACATATCTCATGTGGTTTTGATACAAGTTTATACCTAATGAAAATTAAAGGTTCAAGTACAGTTTTGAGACAGTGAGGGACTCCACATGCACAGCACGTTAACAACGGAGCATGAAGCAAAATCGCTCCGTGTCTTTCAAGATTTAAGGGTTGGGTTTTTTAAAAGTGGCAACAAAGCTTCTAAGGAAATGGAGCCTAAAATGTTATTGCTTCAGGGTACTAGGGCTAAAGAGGGCTAAAGTCTTGCTTTCAAAGCCAACCCACCACTTCCTATTGGAAATAAGCTTATTATACACCACTCCAAACAGGATGGGAGTTGTTCCTGTCCAACTGAACCAACATGGATGTCACAATATTCTCTATTTTTCTTCTGTTTTCAATTGTCCAAAAGTTCTTCTCTCTCAGAACATGTTCTAGCTAAAAAATAAAAGTGCGTGTTTCTATAATGGGAGGCAAGTAGTGGGATGGGAGAAGGAAACTTGTCCTGGCAGCAGACTAAAAAACATCTAATGGTCTAATGGGAACAAGACATAACAACAAAGAACAAGTGAGTTTCTAGCAAGAGTGCCAAATATAAATTGAAAAGATTTAGGCACACTAGTCCTTCGTAAAACTGTAAGGAATTCTGACAAGTATCCTACCAACCATTTCAAGCAGTGATTTAAAACAGATAAGAGAGGGAAAAAAGGTTAGGCTGATCTAAATTAACAAATAACTTACAAGCTACATATTATTTTGTCATAGTAGAAAGTTTCCAGCATAGCTGTTCAGAAATGCAAAACTACAACTCACTCTGAGTTGTACCAAACTAAACCTTTTAGCATGGCTTGTTACTTTTTTATGGTTTCTATTTTCTGTGACACCTTCTGTGCCTCACTTTGTTCAAAAGATGGAAACATGCTGCTTCACTGAAGCTTGGCTCCTGTTTCAATATGCTTATTTTCAAGGGTCCAGTTCTGTGAGGTACTAGACACCTGTAGTTCACAGTGAAAAAACTTGATCAGCAAGGAGAAAAATACATTTCAGACATGTCTCAGAACAGAGTAGCCAAAAATTAATTCCAAACAAAATGGAAAGAATGGAAGAAAGCAAGAAACAAGGGTAGAGGAGGATTCAAAAGTACCAACATTAGAATAATAAAAATGTTGCTCGATTCCTAGTGAATATAAATGTGCATTTCTGCAGGGACAAAAAACTACTGATCAGCACCATTTCTACCTGCTGTCTTGTGTCAGATTTGTATCTTGAAGTCAAGTGTTATGCCCCTAAACTTCTGATAGTTCTCCTTTGTTGCTGCCATTGGTGCCAGGCCTGCACTACAGGCGGGGACCTGTGCGCGCAGCCTCGACCTCGTGCACCCTGTGCCGGCTCCGGGCTTAGCAACTGCAGCAATGGGACAAACTGCTGCTTAGTGTGGGGCAAAACTGGCCCCTCCCCCTCACTAGCGCTTCCTGGTGCAGCCACCCGGAGGCCGCGTGGGGCTGCCCTGCGTCTCCACAGCATCACTGCCACCTCTGGGCTGCCCAGCACAGCAGCAGTGACAATGCGGAGCAGTCACAGGAAAGCCGAGAGGCAGCGGTGATGGAGCCACACTGCTGCCTGGCATGGCGCAGGCTCCGGACAGCGGCACCAAAAAACGCCCGTCAGCGGCGAGGTGAAGTGGTCGCTTTCCCCCATGCCAAGCAACACTTTCTACCTGGTGCTGCTGCTCAGCCCGGCTTAGTAAGCCTGGAGCTGGTACCAGGTGAACAGAGGTGGGGCTGTGCGCGCTGGTCCTGGCTTCTACTGCAGGGCTGGGGCCAGCAGTGGCAGCAGGAAGGAACCGCCCCAGCCCTGCCGCATGCCCAGGGGCGGAAGGACATGCCACAGCTGGGTGGTGCAAAGCAGGCGCAGAGCATGGGGAGCACTGGGGCTGTGCGCTGTTGGCAGTGGCAGGGAGGCACTGCAGGGTATGTCGGGAGGTCCTGACCTGCTCAGGGGGGCACAGGTCATACCCTCAAACCTTCTCCTGCAAACTCCACAAGCATACCATCCCCCACACACAATCACATACCCCACAAATACCATACCCACACCTCTGGGGGGAGCCCCGCTCACTGCTACATGCACACCCCACAGTCCCCCACAAACCCCATACCCACCCATTCATCCCCACAAACCTCAAACCTACCCACCCATAGCACCCCCACATGCCTCCACATCCCACACAACATAGAAGAGTAAGATTTTATCTTGAGCTATTATGCAATCACTTCTATATATACACAGCACAAACACACAAATCAGGATAATTTTTTTTAAATTAAATTAAAATATATTATCAATCTTTAATTTTTAGTATACAATTTGGTTTTTTTTCCAGTTCTAAGATGGCAAACCCTCTTGCCAAAAGGTGTGCTTCCAGCCCAAGGGGAGGGACTTTTGGTGGCAAAGGTCAGAGGTTAGAGGCAGGACTTCCAATCCCAAGATGGTGACCAGAGGGCGTGGCTACCCTTGTGGCCCTCAACAGCTCACCAAAACTCGTTAAGCGGCCTTCCAGCCGAAATAATTGCCCGCCCCTGGGATAGGCAGACAAGCTTTCAGGTAACTGAGTACCCTTCTTCATGTCTCACCTCAGGAAGATCTCTCAGGGAGACTTGTATAATCTCAACCATACCATTGATCCAATAAAAGATATCACCCACAAGAATTCTTCTCTCTTTCATATTTCTTGGACAATTATGGCAACAACATCACTTCAACACTACCAAGAATCTAGAGTCAGTGATAGAAATAATGTGTACATTAATTAATGAATAAATGCCATCCCTGTTTAGACAAAATCATTTTTTTCTTTTTAAATACTGTTACTAACTTTGTACACATAGGAAAAAATGTCCATTGTGAAAATATATTTATCACCATGGTAGTAACACAGTACGATGATTTCAATAAGAGGTCAGGGAGGACATCTGAGCTTACTTCCTGACTTTGTCACTATGTCACCTTAATGATCCTTAACAATGCACTAACCAGTCTGTGCCTCAGTCTCCTCATGTACATAACAGAAAAATTAATACTTACTTATTTCCATAGAATATTTTAAGAGTTTGAGGTCAAAAGTGTTAAGTAAATAAAAAATAATCATCCTAACTGACCCATTATCCCCCAGCTACAAACCACTCCTGAAAGGCCTTTAAAAAGTACCTTTAAAAATGTCCACAAAGAGGCTGAAAATCAGAATAATCAGCTTTATGGTCTCCTTAGAGAAAGTAAAGTGTAAATAATCATTTAGGCATGTAAATCTGCAAGATAAAATGGCTCTTAACTGTCAGGCACTTCTTAATGTTTAGAACTGGGGTGAGCTAATTAAGGAAACTGTCTTCTGTTGGTAGACAGAAAGTGATTTTATGTTTAGGCACCCTAGTCATATTAACATGCCTTCTAATCCACCAGTGTGTTTATCAGAAGTAAAAACAAAGGTTTTCTTTGAGTGACAACGCGTAGGAGGTGCACGGGGGTGCACGTGCACCCCCTGAGCGTGCCAGTACAGCCTGTCAGGCCACGCTCCCTGTTTAGCCAGCGAGCAGGGGCGCAGGCAGCCACACCAGTGCCCCCCCTGCAAGTGCCAGCTGGGGAGTGGGGCTGCCAGCAGAAGATGCCGCACCGCTTCTGAAAGTGGCTGCGGGACTTCCAGAAGCAGCACAGCCACTTTTAGGTGACTGAGATAGGCCACCAGGGACCACCCCTGCTTGCTGATTGGCACACGCCCCCCCGACTCAAGAGGCACCAGTCACTCATGTTTTCTTTAAGTGTGTATGCACACGCATGTGCGTACATATACATATGTTCCCTTTCCCTCTGTAATAAACCCTGTTTTAGTTTAACATTGCTTGCGACTGAGGCAGTAAATTCATTTTACAATACCTAGTTAAAATTTGTTTTCCTAGGTTTCTGGGTGGGGGCTTGAGCCAGATTTGGAAAGTTGGTGTTAAACCTCTAAATTTGAACCTGGCCCTTGTTACTGTCATCCAGGGCTGGACAGAAGGGTTACATGGACAATAAAAATCATTGCTGAAATAGTAGCAGTTAACTGTCATTTTTTAATATTCAAAAGCATATTGTTCAGAAAAGAATTTACATCATAAGCATTTCGTCTCCTCATATCTTTGCGGAAGACATAAAATAAATGATGATTTCATAGTACTTGTAATTAAATCCCTCCCATTAATTTTTCATCGAATATAACTTATTAGATTAAAAAGCAAGTTGATCATAGTTGAATTATACTTGATCTTGCCTCAGTCCAGGAGTTGGATAGATGATCTCCTGAGGTTCCTTCCAGCCCTACATTTTGATGATTGAATGTTTTGTAAAACAAAATTCAAACCAGCAAGGAACCATAAATTTTTCAGTGACAGTAATTAAACACTGAAACAGAATACAATGTGCTGAGGTAAGTTCTCTGCACTTAAGACTTTAAATCAAGATTGTATACATTTCTAAAATGCCCTTGAAGATTTCTGTAAAGTTTTTCCTAATATCAAAATATTTTCTTGCAGTTTTCAAAGCTGAAATGAAATAGAAAACCAATTTTAAATTGATTCTGTACTTGAAATCACAGACAGCACTTTCTACTTAAAAAAATACTAACACTATTAGTAATCCATGTAGTTTGCCCAAACTCTGTACCACAGGTGGACAAAAATTAAATCAGGATGGTTGCTATATTTAAAGAGAAAGTAGAACATACCTACTGTGATGTTTCCTGTTTTGGTTTCAATGGTGATGTCACCTATAAAAGAAAAACAGTTCGTGCTTTAATGATAAGGGAAGGTTATTGTATATTTTTTTCAGTTCATTCAAAAATATCAGAGATTAGCAGCAGGCTAAGGTTCCACTCTTTGACCCTAATGAAAAAGCTATTCTACATACTTTTGCTTAAGTTGCATATACAAATCAATAAAATGTCATCAGTGTAAATTATGCTGCTTAATATTCACAGAGTTGCTTTATAAATTAGAATTCCAGACATGGAAAGTGATCTTAATCCTGTAGGATCAGATGAACAAAAAAAGCCAAGGGCACTGTGTGTGTAAAAATCAATAATTTTTAATTGTACTTTGGGACAGCTTTTACTTCTTGTGCAATGATTACAGCAGCAATATAACTGATAAATTAACTGAATATGATGTGCAATAAAATGGCCTACAGACAGCTAACTACAAAAAGTTTCCAGTTTCCAGCACAGATATTTTCCAGGGCGCACATGGTGATTGCAGTGATTTTTTTCCAGGATGGGATTTTCTCTTTTATCCTGCAGGGCTGCTTCCTGGACAATTGCCCAAGGAGTCATTACACATTCCCATACTATTCTCTTCAAACCTCTGAAATGTCATGCTGTACAAGTAATCAGGTTAACATATGTGCCCTGTTCTGAAGGAATCCAGTAAAATGAAGTCATAAACCTTCTAATGGCACCACTTTATTGTAAGAAAATCATGTGTTTACTGCTTGTTCAAAAACATGGTTACGTATCACCACTGAGTACAGTAGTATAACTGGTAAGTGCTTTGAACTTATTTAGCAAAATGTGAGTTTGCTCTATGTTTTGCTTATTTCCTCCTTATACCAAGAAAGTATTTGCTAAAGAAAGGCCTGTTTTTGCTGGGTGCAGAGCATTCCTTTTGCGGTGGTTAAGCATCTTCAGTCAATCCTTAGCATTGACATCAGCATGATTTGAGTGTACAACACTTCACAGGGATCTGGTCCTGAGATATTAAAGAGTTTAAATTCTAAAAGTTGACCACTGATAGGAAGCTAAGTATGTAGAACAGTATGCTGAAGTAGAGAGATGTAACAAGTATACTAGTATTAACTGATACAGCTTATTTTTTATTAAAATCAAAATCTCCCCCCCATTAAAAAGAAAACAGTTTACATCACTTTATATATCACTTCCCTAAACCAAAATAAAATCTCATTTATATCCTTTAACATCTGTCTTAACAAATGGTATTACCTGTCATACTTTCATCAGTTTCCCAATCCATTTTTTTGTTATTCCCTCTGCTCTTCCTCCTCCCACTTAGAATTTTCCCAGAACAGCATTTCCCAGTCTTTTAATTTCTACTTGTTCATTGTGCTCGATGCTCCCAGCTCCTCTTCATCCCTTTCAATATACCATAGTAGTTCATGCATGGCTAGCTGCACGCATTCTCATGGCGTGAAGAATAGTCCCTTGCGCTCCAGCAGGTTCCGCATCTTACAGATGGCCACTCTTATGCACATTATCAGTAGTCTCAGTTCCTGGCTCATTTGTCCTCTTTGGTCCAGTCCGTATATCACCATCTCATATGTCAATACATTATACCACTGGGTCTTCTTTGCAAACCTCCCCACCCTCTTCCACACCTTCTCTGCATATCTGCACTCCCAGAACACATGGTAAGTTGACTCATGTTCTCACAGTTTTTCCTCGGGCACTTTTCTGATCTGTGCAATCCCCAGGTGCATAACCTCTCTCGTACAGGTAATACATTTCGTGCTGCTATCCACACAATTTCTACAAGTTGTGTCTTTGCCTGTGCTTCCACAACCCCCTTCCATACTTGGGCTGACTGACTCTCAGTCAGGTTCCCCACTTCTGTTATTCTGTCACTTATATTCCTTTCAAGGCTTTTACTATTTTCCCATATCTTCTTGATCCCTTCTAACAGTGCAAAGTGTACCATGAACTTCTCTATTCTTGCACAGTGGGCTGGGGGTGTCTAGGCCCAAGGCATTTTCTATCCCTCAGTGTGTCCCTTATTAACCATAATGCATCTGCAATTCTTCTCCATAATATGGCACGTCTGGTCTTCGTGAATCAGCTCTGATAAACGGTCTCATTTTTTAGCCCACAACTTCTGTGAAGATTTTATAATCTGCATTTAGCAGCGTAATTAATCACCAATTTTCTAGTTTCTCTCTCTCTCCTTTTTAAAGATGAGGACTACAATGCTTTCCACAAACCTTTAATCTATTTCACCCTGCTCCCACATGCTATTAAATAGTTTTACTGGGCCTTTCCCTATACATCCCCAAAATTTCTCATAAAATTCACATGGTAATCCATCTCAACCTGGATTACCCTCTTCAGTATTCCCCTCTTCAGTTTTTCCATTGCTTCATGCACCTCCTTCTGGGTGATTTCTCTCTCTATCTCCACTCTTTCTTCTTCATCTATTCTTTGCACAATTTCCTCTGCAAATGACTGGGCTTTTGTTTCACCTGTCCCCCTACCTTTAAATAATTCTTTGTAGTAGGATTGTGCCACTTCCAGCACTTTTCTGACTCATTGCTCATTTTCCTTCTACTTTCATCAATGTCAGCAGTTCCTTTCTTGCTTCTTTGAATTTGACTGAGACTGATTTACTCCATGTTTATCCTTCTTCAGTCCATGGTGCTTGAGTTAAGATCCCTTTTGCCCTCTTCCTAAACCATCTGTTGACTCTTCTCTTGTTCTCTGCAATCTCTTATTTCTTGTCTTCCCCTTGTACTGCTTGTTTTTGCCACTTCTCTAATTCCCCCTGTAGGGGTCTCAGTTCTCATCTCTTCCTTTGCACTTCCTTTTGTCCTACTTTGCGGAAGGACTCTCCTATTGGCTTCTTTATCATTCTCTACCAATTCCAGGGATTCTTAAAATATCTCTACACAGTTTTCCAGGTTTTATATAGCACTACGTATTCCTTGGACAGTTGTTCGTTTTCTAATAGTCTCATGTTTAGCTTCCACACCTTTTCCTCTCTGACTATTCTGTCTTGTTTTTAGTTTGATGTCTAGTGCTCGACGGTCACTCACTGCAACCTGTTATATTCTTTCATATCACCTCCAGGCCTTCTGATAACAGGAGTAGTCTATTCTTGAGGAACTCCTTCCCCCTGGAGTCAAATCTTGTTGCTATTCTGGAGTTCTCCCATACATCTATCAATACTGCATTTTTAATCATTTCCTTTAGGATCATGCCAATGTATCCATCACCTTGACAGTGCTACATCCTTCAGTGACTTGTTCTGTTACATCAGGGGTTGTCAACTGGGGGTACACATACCCCCAGGGGTACTTGAGAAGGCCCTAGGGGGTATGTGCAGGCAAGCACGGATGAAGCACCGCCATGCATCTTGTGCAGGAGCCACCTGGCCAGCCGGACATGGGGGGGCGGGGAAGGTTGCACGCAGCGGCTACTGCCGCTCTGCATCTGGCCACATGCCACCCCCGACTGGCATCTGGCCACGTGCCATTCCCCCCCGACCCCCCCGTCTGGCTGCTGGAGATACACTGCTCCACATCCGGCTGCCAGGAGTACACTAACCCAAAAAGGCTGAAATCATCTACAATAATTCTGCACCATGTATAATTCTAGTTTCTGGAACAGTTCCGTTCTTTGAGCACTTTTTGTGGGTTTATAGACATTAAAGATTTCTCTCTCATCTTTTCCCATTGTTATCATCAGTCTCAAAAACTGCCCATACACTATCTCCTGGAATTGTTTTACCTGCACTCTTGGATTCTTTATCAGGAACACTGTTCATGTGACAGATGCTAGTTACATCACTTCATGCACACCAGTATGGTATAAAATTGTTTTAAATCAGATCCACATTTCCTTCTGCACTGTGGTTTGCAATTTCCATAAAAGTAGATTTATACATACCAAGTCATACAGTTGTTCCATTAATAACAATGCTTAACTGAACTTTTTTTTTTTTTTTTTTTTTTAAGCTTAACCAGCCCTTCTTCAGCCTGGATGTACAATACATGGACAGGGGGATATTTAACTATACTTAAATACTGGTTTCCTTATTCTGTCCCATTGGATAAAATACTGTGGTGGATTATTGTAAATACCACATTCTGGCACACTAAATATATCACTGATGGCAGTGGCTTACTGTTTCAATGTTTTCTATAATTTCTGAACAATAATTAGAATATTTTCCTGCATACATAACCTTGTTTCTCTATTAAAATTCAAGCCCGATGTCAAGGTCAATTTGAGGTCAACCTCAAGATGTGGGTGCTGGATGTGAAAAAGTACCATTTCTTTTTTGTACTGTACTGCTTCTGACGTCCTGATTCCTTTAGGACTATAAGGGTGAAGGCATGTTGGGGAGCATGAGAAGGGACTGAATTCACATCTCAGTCCTTCATAGCTTTGATTTTGTACTGTAAAGTTCACTGGTTCTCAACATCATTAGACTTGCATCACCCCACGGAAAATACCAGCTGTTAGTTTTCATTCATTTTTTGACTACAGAAAAATAACAGCAATCTTTTGTTGCAAAGTACTCAGAAAGACCACATCAGATATTTTTTTAATACTAAGGATTCTAATTTGAAATCCATGGGCATGTCAAGATGAGTGTTTGTTTCCTCAGGGACAAGAAGCAGTGACACACCTTGTGCCACTGCTACTTGTCCCTGGAGAATGCCCATGGCACATATGATCTAGCGCATGGCAGATTACCCCAGATGGGGAGGCTGGGTCCAGCAACTGCACTGGCCCTAGCAGCCTTACCTGGGGTCCTGGGAGCCTCCTGGGGCTGCAGCGGCTGCAGCAGCTGCAGCAGCTGTAGCAGGAAGCCTGGCCAGCGGCTGGTGTATGGCTCTGGTCAGCCAGGCTCTGGTTTTGGGTGGCATGCGCTGCTGCTAGTATGCCGCCCTTTTTCCCACCCTTGAAAGGATCTCAAGGCACCCTGGGCCACAGCACTCTAGTTGGGAATCACTGGTATAGGCACTTGTCTGAACAGTCTC